CCCTCAAGGCTACTCTGCTCAGTCCTACCACAGAACCTCCATAGTTTGTTTTTTCCAAGCTATCACTATGACTTACTTTGTCCTTCCCTCTTTCCTGGGCCTACATATAGCCTACCCATCTTTCATCATTCAGTTCACACCCTTCTCCTCCATTAAGTCTTTCCCCATCTTTAATGCACTCTGTGTCTTCAAACACTGATGATTTGCGGTCTATTTTACACTATACTGTCTACCACCTCATAGTGCCCCTTGTCTGTTTCATCTCCAGGCCTTAACTCTCTTCTGTGCTCCATATCCATAGTGATTGCTGGACAACTTCTGAAGTATGACTTGCTACATTTCCCTTCAACAACTCTAAAACAGTAAATCATCTGCATTACCAACCGCCACTAACCTCCAAAACATACACACAAAACAACCTCCTCCAGTCTTCTCTAAAAATGGAGTTCAGAACCATATTAGTCCATATTGTTACTATAATAAAATACTTGAAGGGAGCATTTATAAAAAAAGGAGGTTTATTTAGCTCGCAGTTTTGGAAGCTGAAAGTCCAAGTCTGAATAGCTTCATCTGTTAACCTTTCATAAGGGGTCCCTTGGCTAGGTCACAATACATCAGAGAAATAGAAAGGGAATCAGTCATCCACAGAAGGGCGGACCATGTAGTGAGATAAGAAATCAGAGAGATTCAGGGGCCAGGTTTACTTTTTATAAAAACCTCCTCTCGTGGCAACTAGCAAGGCTACTTCAAGATCTATATTAATCTCCTCTGAGGGTAATGCCCCATGACCTAATCACCTCCCACTAGGCCCAACCTCTTAAAGGTCCCAGTACCTCCCACCACCATCACACTACTGACCAAGCTTCCAACATTTGACCCTTTGAGGGAGACACTCAAACAATACCCAACCCATAGCAAGCACATAGCAAACGTTCCTGATGTCTAAAGCACCATGGGAGGCACAATGGAGACAGAAAGGGGTGCAAGGATGATTAAGTTCCCAGTTAAGTTCCCCTTGACCTGCTTGTCAGGATGACTTAAGTACCCTCTTCTTTCCCTCACTCTCCATATACCATGTACTAACTCTATCCATAAACTTATGACATACTGTATGCCAATGATATTTTCTCGCACTAGACTACGAACGCCCTACAGGCAAGAGTTGTGTTTTATGCCTGTATGTCTTACAAATGCCCAGGACAGAAACTAATATCTTTGTTGGATGGCTAGGTGGGTGACAGTGGACAGTGCCTGCCCTGAGAAGTTCAGTGACAAGATGGACCTCCAGACTTGGAGTTATCCTCACCTCTTCCTTTGTCCTCATAACTCATCATTGGCAAGTTTTATATTTCTGTTTCAGCAGTATCTGCTGCACCTGGCCACTTCTCTTCCTCCCCACTATCACCCAGAGGAGTCCACATCATGGTCTAGATTGCCTGGACTTCAGCAGTAGTTTCCACTGGATTCTGTACATCCTCATTGGTTATGCCCATCACTTCCCTGAAATCCAGCCCCCACATGACTGCTAGAAAGAGCTTCCTAAACCACTTGCTATCTTCTGCTAAAAACTACATTGACTCTCCTCTTTCTGGGGCCCTAATTTAAGAACCTAGTTGTTCTCTTCATGCACCTAATTCTCAGTGCAAATCATCCTGCCACCTAGGTTATGCCTCCCAACCTTCATGGTCTAACTTACTAGCTCTCTCTAACCTACTTCTACTAGTCAGAATCTTCTCCTATCTTTCAAGACCCAATTCAAGTGCTTCCTCCCACTTAGGTTATTGTTATCTGAATCATTTTTGTACTGTTCCAAGAGCATCTTACTTAATAGTTAAATACTAGAAGCAGCCTGTATTTCCATCAACAGACAACTGGATAAGGAAAATGTGGTATCTACACATGACACGATACTACTCAGCTATAAAGAAAGATAAATCTGAGACATTTGTAGGAAAATGGATACACCTGGAAAACATAATCTTAAGTGAAATAAATCAGATACACAAGCTTAAATACAGTATGGTTTCTCTCATTTGAGTAATGCAAAGTACAAATAAAGGGCAAAATGAGATCAATAAGAGGAATCAGAGAGACAGATTTTTGCAAATGGGAAAAGGGTCCAAGAGACCAAGGAGGTGGATATAAAAAGATTTAAGATGTGTCATGTATATGTACCAAATACCCACAATGAATATAAACACTATATGTCACAAGCATGAATTAAAATGATAACAATTTAAAAGGAGAAAGGAGATCTAAAGATGGAGGGAGAAAGGTAGGAGAGGGAGGGGGAATAAAAAGAATCAAGATATGTTAAGTACAGTACCTTCTTCCTAAGATGAATGTAAACTTCATGTACTGCAAACATGTACTAATAAAAAAGAAGACCTTTGTCCCTTTGTCCGTGTGCTCTGTTGTATCCTGTTACAGTTAGTCGTGTGTAGACCTGTATTGACTACTAACCTAGAAGGTCCCAGGAGGCAGGGTCCATGAGGAATAGGAGGTACTCAATGGATAGAATTTAATTACCTACCCCACAACACTTTTTCATTTTACAGATTTTTCACTGCACATAAACAAAACAGACAAAACACTGTTGCTTTTATGGTGTTAATATATTAATGGTAAGATATAGTCAATGAAATAAATAAGCAAATATATAGTATGTTAGATGGAGAGAAATTATAAAGAAAAAATAAAGTAGGGTAAGGGTATCAAGGGAGATGGATAGGGTTTGATTTTCTCCTAGTGACCAGAGAAAGCGTTATGGTAAAATAGACAAGTGAGCAGTCACAGACAGTGTGAGAGAAGCCGCCACACTGAGATTGGGGAATGTCCTGGATGGAAGGACAGGCAGCAAAGATGCAGGAGCCAGTCAGGTGTGGGCAGCATAGGCACCAGTGTGGCTGAGTGGAAAGAGTAGAGGGGAGAGAGGTCAGAGAGGAGGCCAGAGGCCACAGGGGCCAGATCCTACAGGGCCTAGGGGGCTACTGTGATAACCTTGGCCTTCATCCTTTTTCAGATAAGGAGCAACCCAAGTTGTGTGTGTGTGCATGCACACGCATGAGCTACTGGGGATTAAACTCAGGACCTTTGCGCTGACTTACACCCCTAGCTGCCTTTTTTATATTTGTTGTGAGGCAGGGTCTCCGTAAGTTCCTAATTTGCCAGGCTGGGCTTGAATTTGTGATCCTTCTGCCTCAGCTTCCCAGAGTGCTGGAATTTCAGGTGTGCCCCACCAACGCAGTTTCAACTTACACTTTGAAAGAATCACTATGACTACTGAGTCTAGATTAGAAGACAAGAACGGGAGCTAGATGAGAGATGTTGTTCTATGTATTTGCAGTCCAACTCCCCAACTACCAGGCTTCCTGGCCCCCTTAGCCCAAATCTTTGATGGTTGGGTTAGATGTTTCTAGAGATTACTGAAGTGCTCATCTCAGAGGCAGAGTTTGCCATTTGAGCCCTAACAAGAATCTTAAACCAAAGAGAGAAGAGGAAAAAATTGAAGGGAAGGTCCTGGAGATCAGAGCAAGTATCATGGGGCCATCCACTAAGGAGTGGCCAGACTGCTGCAAGGCATCACAGTGAGGTACATTAGAATGAGGGCCATCAACCAGATTATATCAATGGAAGCATGCAGCAAGGGGTAAAAATCAGCTGTGAAAATCATCAAAACCAAGGAAATTCTGGGCAAGGCCCGGGAAAATACTTCAGGGTTTAACAGAAACATTTCGACTGAGGGCTAGGGCCACAGCTGAGTGGTATAGTTCTTGCTTAGCATGCACAAAGCCCTGGGTTTAATCCCCAGCACCACAATAAATAAAAATGCTGAGAAGTTTAAAAGTACATAAATATTGTAAATCTGCTAGTAAACACATTCCATTAAAGGAGATGCCCCTTTTAATCCAACCCAGAACACAGAAAGTATGCAAGCTATCTTAAATATTTTAGGGAAAAGCTTCAAACATTGGATGGGTATCTGGGTGAAAGAGTGAAGGGAGAAACTTATCCATACTATATTTCTGTAACATTTTATTTACAGTGAGTCTATAATTTTATTTATTAATAGTATCACATTTGAGGCATTAACAAAGGCAATGGCATCTACAAAAGAGGTAATGCACTGAGGAGCTATTAACCTGAAGGAGTCCTTGGGTAAGTACTGTTAAGAAGTGAAGAGACTGGGGCCAGGGATGTGGCTCAGTGGCGCTGTGCCTGCCTGGCAAGCACAAGGTCCTCAGTTTGATCCCCGGTACCAAAAACAAACAAAGAAGAAGTGAAGAGATAGAGTAATTACTGATTACTGTTCGATCTGTCTGTAACATGCTTCTATGACATATCAGGGTTTTTGAGTTGGGGGGGGCGTCGTTTTGCTTTTGTAATACAAGCAGAGGCTTCTTTCCTATTTGAAAAGGAAAAGTGAGTTACCAAAACTCGCTAAGAAAGACTACTGAAGAATAATTAGCAATCATTCTCTGGCTGTGATGAGGAAAGGGGGTAAGCAGCTAGGCGTATGCAATGAGTTAAGGGCAATCTTGTCCATAAAGCTTCCTGAAGCTGTGTGATTGTTATGTCTCACACACCTCTCAGGCACACAGTGTTAGGTCTGCTTAAAAGACTGGAACTAAAAAAGGAAGTTAGCACTTGGACTCTTTTATTATCATATTCTGCCATGGTGATTCTTTGAGTATTATGTACTGTACTGCATGGCTAAAATTACTAGGCAGAAGGGGGCATAGTTAAGGTGGAGCAGTTGCCTGAGCTTGGAATTCCTTCACTTTTTTAGATTTCTATTGCCTTGATGTAATCTAAATACAACTTCATTTCAAAATATCTAATCACAGCTTTTTCCCAGCTCTGTTCAAATCTTATTTTTGACATATACATACAAATATAAACAGTTTCCGTTAACCAATAAAAACTACAAGATTTCCGGTAAGAATACCAAGAAAGTACAAAAATCACATTCACAAAAGGCTTTTCAGAGCTTCACTTACCACTGGGTTTGATTTCTCGGACATAATTACTAGGGAACCAGCCTGTTCTCCCATTTAGTGTGCCTTCCCACCAGCCTCCTTCTTCAATGCGAGTGACATAAATGATGTCCCCTTTACAGACGGATAGTTCATCTTCGTTAGTCTGCTTAAAGTTGAATCTTGCCTTCACTATCAACTGATGACTTCCATTTTCCGTCATCTCCTAGAGAAACAAAAACCACACCAGCTTAAACACCCATTTAAATGAGGCTGGGATAGAAATTATATGGATTGATGTAAATAAAGTGGGGAGTCCAATGACAAAACCCCAAGTCCATCTGAGTTCTTAATTTAGGAATCTGTGAATGGGCTTTAGGAGGAATTAATAAACCCCTTGAAAGAGCATGGAAATTTTGCATTCATCAGAATGTGTATTTTGTTTGGGTCATAGCTTTCATTTCCCTTTCTCTTCACCAGTGATCTAAAGGTACCTATTTCATATTGCCAGGTGACAGAGTGGAGCAATAAACAATTCTACCTTGCCTCTGCTCAACATATAAACCTAGTCCACATATTAGGTACTAACCTTCTTTCATAAAAATCTGCCCCTACCTCCCAATTACTAAGAATATCTTAATTTGGCTAAGACTTAGTCATATGCAAAGATGAAATATCCCATAGTTAACTAAGTTACAAGTTCTTATGCTGTCTCGTGTGGATTGGGTTTAACTTTTTTGAGGTTCACAGACCTTTTGAGAATCTGATAAGCACAATGGATCTTTGCCCAAATGAGTTCAAACACATGGGCTTTTTTTATATACAATTTAAGAGGGTTAAAAGTTATGGTGGCATAGAGTTCATTAGCTTCTCAAAGGAATCTGTGATCTCAGAAAGGTTAAGAACCACCCATGTAAATGCTTTCGAAGTAATAGGTGATGATGTCCTATAGTTAGCAGGTGGCTTTTGACAGGGACGAAAGGGTTCACCCAAAGAGCAGAAGATGGGGCACTTCCTTCCAAATAAAAGCTCCCAGTAAAACCAAACGCAATGACAAATAAGCGATTCCAAGATACAAGTTCATCATGGGCTAATATTGAAAACCAGGTCTTGCTCAATAAGAATTCAAAGAGAAAAATAAAGACGACAATTATGACAGAACAGCAATGACTATTTATTGGTTGCCTATTAAGCACTAAGTATGATTTAGTTCTAATAAGTCTAGGGATAGGGAAATAACAGCAAAGTGTCATTAGGAGAAGTCTCAATGACTTACACTTGCATGGCATTCTCAGTATGCAAATGAGCAGGCAACAGTGCTGGGGCTTCAACTGGGATTGTCTGCCTCTGGGTCCCACATGCCTCATTTGTTCCATCAGGCCAGCCTGAATTGGTGCTTAGTTTATTTGGTCATACCCAAAACAAACAGAATGGCTCTCTCACCACATACGGAAATCCAACTGGGATACTGATCCAGTTCTATGGATTTTAAAACAGGCAGGGGGAATTGGAGACCATACTTACCACTGCCTTTGCCTGCTTTTGCAGCCCTGGAGCTGTGCTAGAAACTGCTCTCTGTGGGCTTGTCTGAGAACTATTAGCAGTACTAAGAGAAGAGGAACGTCCACATGGTCTTTCTGATAGCTGATCTGTGAAAAGAGGAAAAGGCATGATAAAGGAACCACTCGTGTCAGAAAGCCACCTACACCACACCATTAGCTTTCATGGGATATTATCAAAGGCATCCTAGCTGTAATTCTAACTGTTATCATGAACATACCAAATGTATTTCATTTCTTCCTTCTTCCCTTTTGGGTAGGCAACATATTCTTAACCTTACTGGCCACTGATCTCCAGTAGAATGAAAAGGAGTGACAGATACATTTTCTTTCAATCCATTTTCCTCCAACTCTTCCCTCCTGAACAAGTTGCAACAGTATGCCCTATTATCCAAGGCAGAACTATATCGGGTACGAAACAGCTGTGTGTGGCTCTTATTACTTTGAAATATTTCAAATTTCTCTCTTTGTTTTTGGCCCATAACTCTAACTCAATGGCCCTTTTCTTGTGTATAACAATATGTATAGCATATATAGTATAAAAATCTTCCTGGTGTGCTTTGGGGGGTAGAGAATGAGAATGAGAGAGAACATGTCTGTCTGGGAAGATGCAACCTTGATACCAAAATAATTTGTTTTTGAAAATCAAACTCAGGAATCTTTTCTTCCTTGAAACCTTGTGAAATTTGATCAGGCCAGAGCTGAGTTGGATGTTTTCAGTATGCTGAGAATGTACTAAAGAGAGGAGCTGGCTTCTTGACAACTTCAAATGAGGGTTCTTTTCCTCTCCATTTATTTTTAAAAAGATATAAACTGCAAAAGTCTAAAGCCCAAACATTCCCTAGGCGACAAGCTCAGTATCCAAGTAATTTCCTTGATGCCGTGGGTTTTAACTTTCACCTCCTTGTATTTTTATAAATATCTGTGGCAAGGGAAGAGACTGTAAAACTTGCTAGGAGAGTTTGGCAAAAGAACATATAATTTGTGTGGCATAATGTTAGAATTATACGATCCTCCCTACCCAGAACTGGATAGTTGTCATGTGTGTTAAATATAGTTAGTTGAATTAGCTATACTTTCTGCTATAGCCTTACAATAGCTCAAAAGCATTTTTTTCCAAACATCAAAAGAACAACTTTGAAGAAGTATTTTTATATGTCTTGGTATTATATACAGCTCTTTTGACTGAAACTATAATTACTTGATAGCTTCCTAGATGCTCTATCCTGTTTGGCATTTGATTGTATTGTCTGCTCTTGTGCTCTAATTCTTTCACGTGGGTAAGTTGAGTTTCCCTAAATAGACAGCAATTTTCTCAAGGGCATGAACCATATCTTCCACTTCCTTTATAGCACCTGGCAGTGTTGGGCACACAGCCCCTTGGCTCTTCAACATTTGCAGCAACAAGACTCATGTGTGGCCATAAAGGCTCTACAGTCAGGCATGGATTTGAATCCCAGCTTGACCACTTACGTTCTAGTTTGGCAACTGTTTGCTTGACTTTCCTTATCTATACTATGGAATTATTAATGATAATAATAATACACCCAGATGTGTTACAAATACTGAATGAGACCACCTAGGACTCTTGGGCCAGACTTAACCCAGGCAAAAGCCTCAAAGCATTTGAACTACGATGATTACTACCACTGTAGGGAAGAAGACCAAGGTGTAAAGTTCCATGCAAAGTTTATCATCGTTTGCTTCTAATTTACTAGAATCTATATTTAACACCATCCAGGGTGGTGGGTGTTACACATCTAAGTAAAAGATACTCCTTTCACTCACTATGAACTTAAGGTTTCATAGTGAGTGCAAGTCTCCGGGGGGGTCTCTTTACACAGACAAAGACATATGGAAAAAATGAGAAAAACAGGTCTCTGCTAGGGAAAGGGAAGTGATGGTTTTGTTTTGTAAACTTGATAAAGAAAAAAAAAGAAGGAACTGGTCCTTTCCTTTTTATTTTCTGTCCTGCTATATTTAGCTGGCTATTCAAGAGTTTTGAACAAAATAGTTGTTTGGTTCTTATTTTTATATTCAAGGCATTAGAACAACTCTGCAATGAGTATGTTTAAATACTGTGATGGGTATGCTTAAGTCATGAAAGCTGAAAGTATCTGACACTGTCAGGGTTTACTTAGAGGGAGGAGTGGAATTTGCACCAACTGAATAACCCTGGCCATAGCTGGCTTCTAGTGCAATCAGAAACACATGGATGCAAAATTGTCACCCAGAACTCATAAATCACAAACTCTGCTTACCTTCTGTTGCTTTGTTGACAGCTAAAAGAGTAGTCAGAACCTTGGAGAAATTGACCCCTGAATAAAGGTCATCGGGATCAAAGACCTACGAGAAAGAAAAATCGAAACTGTAAGACCCTGTAAGTATTCAACTCAACAAACAAAACTGTGAAAAGGCCACTTCCTCCAGCTCTCAGGAGAAAAAATGTAAAAGCCAAGACACAAACCTCTGATACCTTTGGGAGAAATGAAAGCAGCAGCCGAGCTGCCTAATGACATGTGGAAGGCCATCAATGAGTCAGAGCAAAGCAGTAATGGGAAATGAGAGTCAAGCTCAGAAGGCAGCACCCACCAGGAAATGCACAGTGCACACTCAGACCCACTCTGACCTGAGCACATCGATACTTGTAGGCCACAGACAGGAAGCTCACATGCATGGGTACAGTCAAGGCCCACCACCTACAGACCAACCTCAACAGCCCACCCTAACAAGGTGGGCCTTTTTGATATGCGTCCACCTTCACTGTTTGTTTCCTGTACTCACTGGAAGCACTGTTGGAAGTGCTGCCCCCTTCTCTGCTGCTGCCCACCGGCCCCCAACTACCTCCAACTCCAGCTCCACACTGGTTGCTAAGGTTTCTGACCAGGTCTGTCTTTTGCTCTCAGCCTCAGTTCCTGGTTTTTTCTGTTTGATCTTGCCTTTCTCAGCTCATCTTTGAACTCGGACCATGTGAAGCCTTGCCTGCCTGAGCCTCTAGGTTCTTCCTTCCCTTAGGTGGCTTTTCCAGATATGCCTTCTGGCCTTCCTGCTACTACTCATCTCTCAGCAACAAAATTTCAATATAAAATGCCAGCTTGCCAGTCCTAACCACCATTCTGATATGCTACTCTCCCTAGTGAAGACATGGATCACCTGTTGCTGTTTTAATATAAAATTGTTAACGTAATTGTTAATATAATGTGATTGTTTAATGTAGAATTGTTAACTTTAAAATGTATGCATTATATTGAAATGTACTGAGACTTCTTGCAAACTCAAGCATGTTTGTTTGAAACCACACATATTCTCAAGCACAGTAACGATTTATTAATTTGCCAGTCAATGATGCAAATAACCTATCTATGGATAACCAGATGCCCACATTCTGGGTGGAAATGCTCCAACTAAAAACATTTCATTCCAGGATTTTTAGAACCCTCTCGAAGAAAACAGATTGCATCATTTTTCTCCAAATGTAGTAGGAGTAAAATGTACCTTTTCAACTGGGACATGATTAATACTGATTTTGAAGGAAGGGTCTGTCTTCCCATTAGGTAGAGCCATTTGTTCCACTTTGAATCTGCATATTTTCTGGGAACCATATCAAGACAAATTTTTATCTTCCCTTTGTACTTATTAAAGTTTTTTATTTTTGTTTTTGCAGAGCTGGGGATTGAACCCAGAACCTCGCACATGCTAAGCAAGCACTACCACCGAGCTACATCCCCAGATCCCTTATGTACTTATTCTCAAAGGCTCAAAATTTGTCTCTTAAATATATAATAACAATTTTTTCAAGTGTGCAGTTCAATACAGAGATGCATGCAAACATGGACCCATACAAGTATATCTGTTCTGGGATTCACAGCTCTACTATTCATCTAATCTACGAATGGTTTGCATTCCAAGCTAAAATGACTGAAGAGCCCAACTGCATCTGAAAATGAGACACAGGGCTTCAGTATAGCTCAGTGGTAGAGAATTTTCCACCATGTTCAAGGCCCTGGATTTGATTGCCAGAACTGCTAAATAACTAAATAGAAGAATGAGACACAAGCATACTTTTAGTAAAAAGGTAATATTGATAATACTAAATAGTTGAATGACACTGTGATCCAAATATACTTCTGAATGCTTCAATAAAAAATGCAAAGTTTTCCCAGAATAGACAAGGGTTCTATTTGAATTTGCCTTACCCTAGTTTAACAAGATGCAATAAATTCAAGAGAGAATCCAGAGCCTAGAGGATTCCAGATTACTTAAATTCCCCTCAGAACTGGCCAAGTGGGAAAGTTTTAATGACATCTATGCCAAAATAGTCACAGAGCAAAAATGTTCACTTGTTTTTAGTCCATAATTCCCAGTGGGGATGTAAATGCGTGTGTATGGTGGATGTGTGCATTGAGTGGATGTGAAGGAGGAGAACAAAGTCTAAAATAATGCTTGTAAGCAAAGATCAGCAGAATAAGGCAAGAGAGCAAAAGCTGTGACAAGAAACCTCCTGCTTTTAATTATTCCTTTTCCAGGTGGACTGTCTACCTACATGTGGTAACGCTGGAATTAATCACTTGAACCAGTACTTGACTGAATTTGAGAACAAGTAAAATGACCAGAAAATGAAATATCGATCAAGTCATTGCATCTGCTTGAGAGAGGCTGCCTGGACTATACACAGCTCCTTTTGAAAAAACTCTAATATACTCGAGTGTGTCCACAGGCACTGTTCTTCTCACTGCAAGGCTATTCTGTAGCACTAGGAACTATTCAGGAAGTAACTGCAAGAGATATCTAAGGACTAGTAGAGAAGGCAATGCTGAAGACTATTATTTCAGAGTGCCGGAAGATCAGCTATAACTACGAACAACTTCCGCTATACTACAACCTTCCTAGACACAAATGGAATGATACCTAAAATTCCACCCCAGCTCTTCCTTCCATGAACTTGAGATTGGTCTCCTACAAGATGAAAATATTATTTAGAGGAAGGACAACAGTTTCAGCCATTACCGGTCATTTTCACCTTAGTGAAAATGAAAAGTGTGAGACCAAGTTTAGAGATGATGATGTGCAGAAAGATGAGGGGCACTGGCACCCAAGTAGAAAGCAAGAGGAAAACTCTGATATGGATAGCTGTGATAAAAACAAGGAGAAGTAGATTACAGTACAGGCCACTTGCATGGGACTAACGTCACTCATTTATACATACAAAATGGAGAACCAATCCCTCTTTCTGTCTGCAAAGCTCTGGAACCCATTAAAAAGTCAAGTAAATTTGCACATTTATGCTGTATGTAATTTTCCAAAGTCTCTTTCAAAGAAAATTTTCCAAATCAAGGTCAAACCCTGAGAAAGTCATGATGATATTTATCTTCTAGGCCCCCTCTGTAAGCCTCACCAGCCTGTTTAGTGTCTCTGGTATGTGATTGAGTCCCAGATTAGCTGAACTTTATTTATGGTTATTTTGGTTTGGAAATGAGTGGGTTAGTTCCAGTTGGATCTGTAAAGGTCAGATGAACAGCAAGAATCCCACCTTCCATTCATTTTACCGCCACTGTGATGCAGATAAGAAAAAAGGACTACTTCTTAGATTACTGCTAGATGGTTTCAAGGTACCACTCCTGCAATCAGTTGTGGCAAGGTTCAAGTTTAACAACAAAAACATTTATTCTACATAAGCAACAGAAAGGACAAGAATTAAACTTCATTGAAGATTTTGATTAAGAGTTTTTTCACAGATAGCCAGCCTAAGGTCCAATCTCATGTCAGCAGATGAAATCAGACAAGACACTTAATTTTAAAATGTTTTCCCACATTTTTCCATTCTTGATATCCACAGTGACAGCAAAACCTATTTTTTACCCACTAAACATCAGGTGTTAATTCTGAACTGCTGGGAATCTGCTAGTATAAATTATGCCGAAGTTAGTATTTTTATGGAGTAGTTCTCATTTTCAAAATGCATGTCATTTTATGACACATTGCCTAAACTGACTCCATTGCTCCATTCCCTCAGTTATCTTATAGCTACCACGATGGGTTTACCGGGTCCCTGCCATGTGCCTGGTGCCATGCTTAAAGTTCCATATATATTGCTATGGTTTAAATGTGCCCCCCGCATTCACATATTGAAACCTAGTCCCCAGTGATGGAATTTGGAATTATTATTGCATTTGATTCTCCCAGGAAGCCTGCAATATGGGTTACAATTCTTTCCTTCATTTCTTAGGTGAATAAAATTGACACTCAGAGAAGTTCAGTCACAGAGCAAGAAAGTGATGCAACCAATAAAAATACACAAATAAGTATTCTGAGGGATATTGTAACCCCACATGCACACTTTAGGTTTCCATGAAGCAGCAAAATACCAAAAAGCAATCCACGGGTTTGTACACAAAAAGAAATCCCTTGCTTCTGTCAATATGGGTAGCAGCTATACCACCTGAAGCAAGTTCGTTACAACCTCTAAAATGACTAATTCAAGGGCCAGGGATTTAGCTCAGTGGTTCCGGCGCCTGCCTCACAAGCACAAGGTCCCGAGTTCGATCCCTGGTACCAAAATAAATAAAGAAATAAAATGACTAACTCAGCTAATTGTGCAGAGAGAAAATCTCACAGATTGAAAGAGGTCTCATTCCCGTGCTGTCTTCCCTACATCAGGAGACAGCTCCGATTCAGTAGGCACTCCCATTTGGCAGAAGTGGAGAAGGGCTGCATACTCTGTATTCTGTGAGGTGCTAGTTGGTGGGGAGGGGTACACCTTGTGGTTATGGAATCAAACTAAACCATCTGGACATTCAGTCTCCTGATTTTCTGGCATCATGCCCTAGTCACCTGAGTTAACCAGTCACAGCATTCCAGCCGCATCCTGGTTAAGAAAGGAAGCCATACCCTGTTGTACTTCAGAACTACTAATGCCTGTAATGTCATTGTGGTTTCAATAACACCCAATTAACTTCCATTTGAAGTTAATTTAGGATTTGGGGTGATCACAATAGGCTCCATCACTCGACTTTAACAAATCTAATCAACTGAGAAGCAAATAATTCAGTGGGACCACAAGGACATATAGCTTATGTTTCAAGAGCCTGTTTTAAAAAAAGATTCCAAATATTTAGGAACATTCCAGTTCTCCCAGAAAGTCCTTGCTTTTATTGAACAAAGTCTTAATTAACTTAGCTCATCTTGAATCACATTCTCTAATTCTCTCAGCTGAGCACACTGCCTCTGTTAACCCCCGAACTTTGGAGGAAATGTCATTACATAGTGCGACAGAGCAAGCAAATTTGAGCTGCTTAGTCATATTTCACTGGGTGGCACTGCTCCTGGCTCTGTGAACACGACCTGGG